AAGGAATCAGCAAAATGTAGATAATTCCTCACAGATCAGGCCCTTGTCAAACAGACCCCCACCATCTGCGGAGTCTAAGGCCTTCACCCTTGGTGAATTTGTAATTTTGCTTTTATATGTAAGATTGCAGTACAGTGGTACTTTGGTTTGCAACCACTTTGGATTACAACCATTTTGGATTACAACTACGTCAAACCCGGAAGTGCGTGTCCCTTTTTTTTGGATTGCAACCCATTTTTTTTTTTTTGGCTTACAACCAATTTTTTGGGGGGAGGCCCCATTGGTGAAAGTGCGCCTTGGGTTACAACCTGTTTTGGTTTACAACCAGACCTCTGGAACGGATTATGGTTGTATACCAAGGTACCACTGTACTCTTTATGGTTTCAGTTTCTGAAATCAAAATGGTAGCCTAAGCACAAAGGGTGGAATTTGATGTTGTGCTCTTCTAAATATTCTGTCTACACAAGGGGCTATGGTGGAATGCTAAGTAACCCTTTATGTGCCCGGGGCAGTTGCACAACCATCTGTGCTGGAACTCGGTGTGAGTGGAAGAGGAATCTGTTTAAACCACCTCTTGTACTGAGTGGCCACTTATATGTAACCTGCTTGTGTATTTGTTATTTTTAGAACGCCTGACCAATTTTATACTAAATTATACATAAGAAATCTTTATTATGCATATAATACAAATAAATAGTCAAGCTGCATGTGGTACAATATTTGTGCAGCATAATATTATCTCTACATATGTATATTAATACATACATATTTTTATACAGTTATATGCATTGTTGTATGTATCTATGTGTTGATTACTTGAGGCAACCTGGGATATACATGGACGTGTGTGTGTGTGTGTGTGTGTGTGTATCTCAATCATATGTATAATGATGTGAATAATGATAAATTTTACATTGTTCCTATTTTTGGTAACTCCAAATGTGGGTTGGTGGAGGGGAACTTGCTTCTTGTCAAAATTAAGGAGCAAGATGGGAATTAGGAAAAAAAACCTAAAAATATAAGCTTGACATTAAAAATTTAATAAAATTAGTATTTTCCTGAGGCAGCCACATTCTTGTTTGTTTGTGTGTATGTGTGTGTGTGCACACACATGCACGTGACATGTGACTAGGCCCTGGTTGTGAGGCAAAAGTCAGTATTTTTACTTTATCCACATTTTCTGGTGTTTCCATTTTATGAAAGACGTCAACCCCCAAACTGTTTCCTTTTTGTTTGGATTAATAGGAAAATGTTGGTTTTATTTTTGATCTGAACACCTTGGTTAAAAAAAATCAGGCCTGACAGTCAACTGATTACAAACATTATAATATCCAATGAAGAAAATGTAGAACACAACATTTAAAGGTGAACTGATTTATTGTGACATTTTTTAAAGGTGGCATAGGATTATTTGTTTTTTGTTTTTGTTTTTGCTACATCAGACTAACACAGATGCTCTTGAGATATTTAATTAAGATAAGTTTTCTTACACTAAGGTGCTGAGACAAGTAATTTATTTGGACAAATTGTTCTAAATGTATAGTGAACCAAGGGATTGAGAGACATACTTTGCTTGCAGTGTTATCAGCACTGCCTAAAGTAACATTTACAGGAGAAACCTTCTGCAAAAAATAACAATGAGTGATGCAGTTCTAAGCATGTTGTATAGCCTTGTATGCACAAAGGCAGGGGAGAATATTTACAATAGAGATGTTTAACTTGTAAACAGATCCCATTAGTTCAATGGCATTTACTTCCCAGTAAGCAGCGTTGTAGCCATAGTTAATCGTGTTTCCAATCCTAACCATGAGTTTTCTGCAATTATGTGGATAAGAACAGTCCAGTTCACTCGCACTGGATTTTGCAAGGCAGAAAACTCTTCACCGATCTTATTCAAGAGCAGGACGACTCTTTCATTCCCAGAGCAGAGCTGTAGCAAAACTGGAAGCAAACTATAGGGTCAAAGAAGAGGTAGGATGAAAATACTGGGACAAACAGCTGCTTTGCCATGGGGAATTCTGGTTGAGATAGTCTTCTAGCAAAAATGTAATCTGCTTAATGAGCTCTTTTTGAGGCAAGGGGATAGAACTCGACACTCAGGGAGACTTAGTGACTCCTCAGGCCTATTTGACCTTTGGGGTTCTCCCTAGGCCAGACTCCCTTTCCTTGCCACCCTCACTTACTAGCACTGCCCTGCACCCTCCATTATTTATGCCTAGCTGGAATGTGTCTGAACTGTGATAGTGCTTGCTGGATGGAGAATGGAGAGTCGTTTTGCTTGGGCTATGGTAGAAAGATAAGCATGCCCTCTATTGCTCAAATTACTTTCCCCTCTGGCTTATCCACCCCTGGCATGCAGCCCTTGGAGGTTGCCCTTAGGCTAAAAAAGGTTCTCCATTCCCTTGTTTAAGGGTTTCCAGGCAAAAAAAATTATGACAGTTAATCTTGGTTTACTATACTACGATACCATTCTGTTGGCTTTGTAAAGGCTGCCAGAGTTTTTACGTATGAACAGTCCCCTTGGTCAGGTGGAGTCTTTGCTTCTAGGTTCTCAGACATCATATGCATTTAGAGTAGATTACATACACTTACTTTTTCACCATGTCAAAGGACTGACGATCAAATGAAATCTAGCTCGCCCACTGCTGTTCTGTAGCCTGAACAGCAAACTTGCAGTATTGTTTTTGCATTCTAGTACTTTCAGTGCATGCAATATTTTAATGAAACAAATGAAAAGTTTTCATTCTAGTTTTGTGTGGTGTTGCTAAAGGTTGCACAACTTCTATTATTTACTTGGGTACTTAATCCGGGAATTCATATTAGAACTGGTGAGGAAAGGGATGAAATGTCCTGAAGCTTCTTTTCACTGTTGCAACATGAAGCTTCAGCTCAATATGTCCATAGAAGCTTCTTTGATCACCCAGTCTCTGTGAAAATTGTAAACTGTCAAAATGGTGAGACTTCTGCAGATGCACGAAAATGTCTTAAGTGAGCCTGAGTAGTTTTTCCCATTGGAAACACAGTGAGTGAATTATTCCTTCTAGTCACTGCTGAACTGTGCAGTTATTGCAGAACCCTGATTATTTTCAGCATGTAGACCTGTAAACATTTTAAGTGGAGTTGGCCCAAGACATTTTGCTGCCTGAAGCAGAGCAGCAAATCTGCCCTCTTCAAAATTCAAGGTGCATAATACCCAAAATTGGTCAAGTTATTTTGGCACCTCAGGCAAAAAAATCCAACAAGCACCTCTCCCTCTCCCTGGCAGCAAAAAATCTAACAGTAATACATTTAATAATATACCAATTTGTTGCCATTTCACAACACCAAAATCAGCAGCCAGAGGCAGCAGTCTCACTCTGCCTAATGATAGGCCCAGCCCTGAAAAAATCTTTTCCCCCCCAGTGCCACTGATTGATCTTAATGTGCCTTAATTACTTATAACATTTCTACACTCCCCTTCTGCGGAGAAGTTTCCTAGGCTTCTGAACCTCACAACACCATCACAAGACTGAGAAATAGTCTTGCTCAAAATTACAGGGTTTGCTTCTTGTCTCAGTGGTGATTTGAAGGTCAGTTTTAGGGGTATAAGCAGACTGGAGGGTTTGGATTGGATCCTGATTTAGTGCTTCAGAAAACAGCCTGTCAGTTTTAGGCCGAATCTGATTTGGGAAAAAATTAGGCTTCTTCTGCCAACATTTCCCAAAATTCACTATTACTGGGAAATAAAAGTATCTGTACTTTTTCATTTTGCAAGACATAGTTAAGGTTGTAAGAATGAGTTGGGTATGTCTGTATGGGGGGTGGGGGACAGGGAAGTTAGTGGGATTTACATGGTTGAAATTTGCAGGCATAGTAGCACCTCCAGAATGGATAAGGCCTGTCAGGTTACAGGCAGAGGATCTTTTTCTGTGCTGGGCGCCTTTAAAATTTGCCCCACCACAGAAACCTCCATAAATTTGATGTTTGGCTGAATTGGGTGAAATTTGCTGCCAGGTTAGACTCTCTGGAGGAAATGAATCCTGCCAGATTTCAGAAGGACTGCTGTAGTGGTTTTCCTTCAAGGACAGCCTTTACAGTTTTCTGGTGGGTAAAATCATCATCTCTGATTACAAGCTTGAAGTATCAGTCACAACTGAGCATGCGCCCCACCCCGCACCCCTACCCTGGTATTTTCCTTAAGGTAATGTCAGAGATGTTAGGTTTGCTTTTTGTAGACAAGCTTTTTGCAGTGGCTTTCCATTTGTGGAATGTTTTCTCCAGGGAGGTTTGGCTGGCACCTGCATTATACACCTTTAGGCGTCGGGTGAAAACAGTCCTCTTCAACCAAGCGTTTGGCCGATTAATATATGAGACCCTTCTAAATGTGTTGTTGGAGGGGGGTTACTGGTTTGTGTTTTTCTTGTTTTTATTTTATGTTTTGAGGTTTTTTTTTACCTTGTATTTTTATGTTGTGAACTACCTTGAGATCTATGGATGAAAAGCGGCATTCAAATTTAATAAATAAAATAAATAGTACTTATGCATTACATAGTTATTTTGAACTTGTGGAAGTTGGAGCTATTTCTTTATTTAACTCTACTGTAATTAATTATCCTATGAAAAAATATATATATTCTAATGGACCCCCTAAGCAGGGAAATGTGCAAGGGGTTGGGCAGTGCCCATATGAATGTATGTTACGGTTAGCCTGGATATACTAGATCAATATGAACGTAAGTTGATTGGAAATCCTTGAAACCAGAAGCATATATTTATTGCAAGTACATGTGGCCTGAATGAACAAACCACCCTTGTTGAACACAGTACTTTTGTACCTTTTGTTATGTTCAAAAATATAATTTACTAAAGTAGATTGAATATATTATTTTCTAAAGAGAAATTATGGTAGTGAGAAATGTTAGTCTTTAAGGTGCCATGGGACTCTTTGTTGCTTTTATTAAGATATTAAACATACTAGCTTTGTATGCTCAATATTTTCTTTTTTGCTGTTTTTTCCCCAGGCTGACAAAAAAGAAAGGAGCAATGCCTTGAATATTGCAATAGATAATATGTGCAAGAAAACAAGAGACCTCCGCAGGCAGGTAATCTCCTCAGGGGAAAAGTATGTTAAATAGATAGTTCTGCAAGCAGTTATAACATAAAATAATAATTATGACATGCTTTTGTTTTATTTTACACACTTTTCTTTAAGAAATGCAGATGGAGATTAGGGATGCAGGTTTGGAACAGTGGAAACACCAAAAGTCCAAGATTTAGAAATATGTATTCAAGGGTCCAGTGAGTGGTCTGAGAACACCTAATGTTGCTTTATTCCTTGAAGGTGTGGGCTTAGTCAGTTCCTTGGATGACAGATTCCATTATATAAGAGTGAGAGATTAAATAGTCATAGGGCAAAGGCACATGACATGAAGCAGCATTGCTGAAAGCTAAGCAGATCTGGATCTGGTCAGCCCCTCCTGCACAGCAATGTCTGTTTTGAGAGAAAGGATGGAAAACAGAATAACAGCATTCTTCTGTGAAAATGATTCTTTCCATACTGGAGGTTGTTTAAAAGCATCCTTACACAATACATTTTAAAAACATCTTTACACAATGCATTAAAATAAAATTAAAACTAACAGCCATAATCTAGCATAGTCTTGCTGGAATATAATAGTCTTATTTATACCCCCACAAACCCAGACAGAATCCTGTTCCTAATCTATGCTTAGTATAAGAATATTAAATTGATTATGTGATGGAAAAAGGCAGGTTGATAGGCAAATAATTTATGTTGGGTGCCAAAGGCGACAGAGAACCAGTTTGTGGATTCATCTTATATGTTGTACATGTGTGATTATAACATTGAGTGTGCAGATCTGTACACATACATTTTACTGTTCATATCCAGGAACATTTAGGTACCAAGTACTGTGAAAATCAACTTACAAGGTGAAATTCACTAAGTTCTACTAGGCACTAGAAAAAGTGATACTCTCCCCAAGCATTTGTAACAGGAGGCTGAAAAATACACTCTTAAATCTGAGATTGTTCTTTGAAATTGTTGGTATCCATCTTTCTAGAAAGACAATAGAAAAGTGCACCTTCGGGGGTAAAGTCAAACCATTGGAAAGTTACAGCGCCTGCTGTGGCCATAGAGACAAATACAAGAGAGACCTGTTTTATTATTGCAACTGGGGCAGATGAAGGCATCCAGTTTCGCTGTTACAGGTGCCCCATTGTGTTTCTTCTCTCTGAGCTCCCCCCAGCGGTCATTTCCAGTGGTCATTTCTCCACTGGTTGCTGCTGTGGATACATGACCTGAATGTTTGTCTCCAGGCACTGAAGTCATCAGTCAGGGATTCTCACATGGTGGGGTTAATGTTGCAGCCTTCATGTCCTGTTTGTAGACATCTTTATAACACAGAGTTGGCCTGGTGCCTGAGGCCAGCTACCCATAAAGCACATCCTTGGGGATCCTGCCATCTTCCATTCTATGTACATGACTAATCAAAAAAGATCCCTTCTCTTTAAAATAATTTTGAAAGCACATTGTTTCATTTTGCATTACATTTAGTATTTTTACAGGTACTGATAGGGAAGAGCAAGAGTCATATTTCACAGTGAATAATTTAACCCAGTTGATTGTGTTAGTAGTCAGTTCTGACATAAAGCAGGAGTGGAGGACCTGGTGGGTCCAGAGCAGCTTAGATGGAGGCATGGGGTGAGGGAAAGGAAATGGAAGTCCCATTGCATTAGCAAAAACTATGTGCACAGAGCATTGGATACAACCCAAGGTTTCTTATTTGCAGAGTACATTTACTGCATAGCATAACACACACGAAATACCATGATACAGTGGTGCCCTGCAAGACGAATGCCTCGCAAGACGGAAAACCCGCTAGACGAAAGGGTTTTCCGTTTTTGAGTTGCTTCGCAAGACGAATTTCCCTATGGGCTTGCTTCACAAGACGAAACGTCTTGCTAGTCTTGCGATGTCCCCCCCAACTCCCCCCCTTTTTCTAAGCCGCTAAGCCGCTAATAGCCTTTTAGCAGCTAAGCCGCTAAGCCTTTAATAGCTGCTAAGTAATCCGCTAACCCGCTAATAGGGTTGCTTCGCAAGACGAAAAAACCGCTAGACGAAGAGAATCGCGGAACAGATTCTTTTCATCTTGCAAGGCACCACTGTATATGATTTAATTAATGGTGCTTTCTTTTCCCAGCTCCGCAAAGCTATCATTGATCATATCTCAGACTCCTTCTTGGACACAACTGTTCCACTTCTTGTGCTCACTGAAGCTGCCAAAAATGGAAGAGAAAAGGAAATAATGGAATATGCTGCTATATTTAAAGAACATACGTGCAGGCTTATTGAGGTGAGTTTTTTGGTAGTGCAGTGGACCTGATGTAACCTTAGCTTTCAGTAATCGCTTTGTATTTTTGTCCCATAGGAAAGTACAGTGACTGCATTAGTGACTATGTTCACAGCAGCATATTTTTGGTTTTCCCTATTATACATATTTTTGTATGGCCCTGCTCCATGTTTGTTCATGTGGAAGTGTTTGTACCATACTGTTGTTTTTCTTGTAGCTATTATTGGAATCTTCTGTGGGTGTTTTGAATAGTCCTAGAGTCTTTAAAATAATGTTAGGTACTTACTGTCTAATTATTAAGAGAGATTCATATAAGCATATTCTTTCACATGTGGATAGTGTACAGGAGTGAACAGACTTTGCATTTGCAGGATCTACTTTGTTTTTTATTAGAATCCTGACATCTGCTAACTGTAATCAGGTGCCAAATAGTAGCTCAGGAAGGGGTAGGGAGAAAGCCACCCACTGCGTCCCATGAAACATATACTCGTATGATTGAATCTGAAGTTCTCTTATACCCCACCTCTCTCTGTTTTCTTCAGCTTAGCAGGCTAATTCCTTGGCACCTATAAAAGTTTCTAGGTTTGCTTACCTTGCTGTTTTGAGCAAATAGAACTGCCTTTTCTAGCTGCAGGCTGCCTTTGCCTCACTCCACCCCAACCTTACTGAAGCCTGGTTTGAACTGAACCCATGCAAGAGAACTCAAGAACATGTGCTCTTCACTTTCACAATCAGAATCAAGAAATTGTGGAAATTATTGTCAAGTGGTGTGTGTGCATGCCATTGAATTTAGAAGAGACTAATCTGATAAATTATTTGCTATTCTGGATGCTGCAGTCTTTCTACATTGTAGGACATGTGAAAGTGTGGCAGGAAAACTTGGGAGTAGCTTAGCTCCTGGATGATGTTGCACATGCTGGTAACACCACTGAGGTGATGTGCAATTGACTGAGTGAACTGGGCAGTTCATTATAGGAAGAATTTTCAACATGGGAATAGAAACCCTCAATAAGATTCCCATCTCCCTGCTAGAAACACTTCACACAGTGAAGCAACCCTCTCCAGTCTCAGCCAATCATATGGTGTCTTGGGAAGTGTTGCTGGTACATGCAATATTTCCCAGGGGTGGAGTGAGCCCCGTGTGTAACAACAGGCACCTTTGTGTGTTCTGCGATAAATGTTTGAAGAAGGTAGACGTGTGACATATCCATCATAAATACTACTGCGTTTTGCTCATCTTTCTTTGGAAAGAGGCAACACTGCTATAATTTGAAAAGTTACAGGTGGGCTTTGAATTCCTTAGAGTTGCCTCTGTGACTTCTAGTGAGATATTCTGCTAAACAATTTGTTTCACAAACACAGTAATAAGCTTTGCCTCATCTACAGATGAAAAAAGAATTAAACAGATGCTAAAGTGGCTGCTGGTTGAGATTGTCTATGCAATTCTACACTTCCTCTTACAATAGAAATTCAGGCTTAATTACTCACTTTTTTCACAAGTATTTCATTTACATTGAACAATGTAACATTCACACTCACCCACCCACCCATGCCCATTTGCAAAAGGCATTTTATTCTGACTTTGAGCTCCAAAAGGAACCCTCGGTGCAGGCTGGAATAAACAAATACACAACTAAAACAAGCAAATACAAATATAATTTATTCACAGTCCACCAAACACTTCATTTGTGTTTGGTCACAGAATTTACAATACATAATATTGTTAAAAGAGAAGAACATAAGGAAACAAGCATGGAAAATCAAAAGGAAATTGCAATGGTTGGAAATTTTGTAATTTGATTACCATTTTTTTTTAGTCCTCCAAAAAGAAAAAAGATCAACAGATACTCTTATTATCATCTTATTATTATGTAATGATATATATAAGAATTTATCTTGCCTCCTGATAAAAACTATATGTAAAAAGAACATGTGGTGTAGAATCCACCTCTTCATTATTACAAGGGCAGTACCTGTGATTTATGGGAATTTTGCTATATTAAAAAGTTTTAAGTGTAAGGTATTAAATATGCCAGAGAAAAAGCTTTAAGAGCAGATATCCATTTCAGATTAGGCATCCCATTCTTAGAACTAGAACCCCGCAAATCCAGTGACTGGGGTAGAACAAGACCTCTGGTGCGAATCGATATCCATTGCTCTCTATTTGGCAGTTTGTAGATAATAAATAAGAAGACAGAAGTTCAACTGACACAAGTTTTGCAACAGTTTCTTCATCCAGGCAGACTTGTCTATCATTTCCTGGAATACAAAGGAACTGGGAGTAAGCAGAAGATAGCAATAGAGCCAAAATTTAATGGACTAGATCCATTAGCTCAAAGAATTTAGACCAGCGTCCAAATTAAGAGTAGCACCAGTAACACGTCTAGGAATGCCAAATATAAACCAAAAGAAAATAGGGTTGAGCTCCTTCCATGTGCATTTAAAAGCATGGAAACCAAGTAAGTGCTCCAGAAATTTTATCTGTGATACAATTTTGGCTTTAATCACTCTACTGGTCACTGGGATAAAACTTTCACCCTTATAATCAGCAGATCCAACCAGGGCGGTCACAATATTAAAAACAGTTTAAAACAACTTAAAATCACAAAAATAACTACTCACTATTCACCCTGCAATAGTCTGCCCTACACTGTCTTAGTAAACTGGCTGTAACTCTATATTATATGCCTGCAAGAGGCATGCCACCTAGTGAAAGGGGTGAACCATGTTAAATGAGACAGTGGACGTCTGTATTGGGATGAAATAGGCCACAACTTATTGATTACAGATGTAAACTGGTTTTGACGAAGGCACTGGGTATGTAACCAAGATCAACCAACCCACCTGCTGGTTGATAATTGTATGGGCCGACTGTGTGGCCCATACAATTGCCCCCCCCCAACATACTCCTTCCAGGGCCACTTCTTGAAGATCTCAGGGCTGTTTGCAGCATGAAATTACAATATAAAAACACAAAATACATAAAAAGCAAGAAGAAAAAGCAAAAACAATAGCCCCCGTCCCACAAGCACATTTAAAAGGACATAGAAGGTTAATCAGCCAAAAGCCTGGTTGAGAAGGAACATTTTCACCTGAACCTCCCTGGAGAGAGCATTCTGCAGGTGGGAAGCCACTGCAGAAAAGGCCTGTTCTCATATTGCCACCCTCTGGACCTCTCATGGAGGAGGCACACAAAGACTCTGATTGCAGGATCCGGGCAGGTTCTTATGGGGAGAGGTGATCCATACTAACATACATGTGAATTTGTATAGGATGGGTGATTTACGAATAATAACAAATGCAGCTACCATGGGGACGCGGGTGGCGCTGTAGGTAAAAGCCTCAATGCCTAGGATTTGCCCATCACATGGTCGGCGGTTCGAATCCCCGCGGCGGGGTGCGCTCCCGTTGTTCGGTCCCAGCGCCTGCCCACCTAGCAGTTCGAAAGCACCCCCGGGTGCAAGTAGATAAATAGGGACCTTACTAGCGGGAAGGTAAACGGCGTTTCCGTGTGCGGCTCTGGCTCGCCAGATGCAGCTTGTCACGCTGGCCACGTGACCCGGAAGTGTCTGCGGACAGCGCTGGCTCCCGGCCTATAGAGTGAGATGAGCGCACAACCCTAGAGTCTGGCAAGACTGGCCCGTACCTTTACCTTTACCTACCATGGTTTGGTATGTGTAGGCCTGAAGTATCAGCCTTGACTGTTTTCTGTTTAAGGAATTTGAATGCCTTGGACAAAATCCATTTTCTCAAAAGAGTGCCTCTAATCGCGAGAGAAACCTATGGCTCTCCAGCTGTTGTTGGACTACAACTCCCATCAGCCCTGAGCACTGACCATTCTGGCTGGGGCCACAGCTTCCCCCTCCTTGCTCTGAACAATGGTGCTTTTAAGTGTGTGTGTGTGTGTGTGTGTGTGTGTAAGCGCACTTGAAAACTTGGCTTTACATTATGCATCCTCAAGTTGTAAAAATGCACCTCTCTGCAGAATGTAGTGACTTGGAAGCATTATTAGAAGCACTGTCAAGGTTTGTAACCTCAAAACATAAACAGCATTTTTTCCTAATTTCTTTGAAAATCTGTGAAGTCCTTTCTTCTCTTTCCTCCTCCTCTTTCTACTCTTTGAGAACAAATGCTTTCATGTGCATGTTTAAATTTTCTTTAATAATAAGCTGCATATAATAAGCTAGCTCCTTGGCAAACACTGTAGCTTCTCACTTTTTTTGCATCTGTGCAATTTTTGTTTATGTTTTACACACTTTTCTGGATCCCTACTTCCAGCTAAAATTAGGAAGACTGTATTCTTATCTTCCTTCTCCTAATGCTATATCACATGTTATAACAGAAACAGGCATCTGCTAAAGATTTATATATTTATCTGCAGCACGTATAGACCATCTTATAACCTAGGTGTTTGGGGAGCTTGCAGCATAAATCTGAGTTTAAAAATTGGTAACAGGAAGATTAAAAAGTACCAATAAAAATATTGCAATTCTCCGCATTTTATTATATTTTAAATTTTTTTAAAATCCTCAAGAAAATCAGTGTTTTAGTGTGAATTTCTCTGAATATATACATCTTTGTATGCAGTTTTACTAATATATAATATATTAGCCCTTTTCAGTAATATATGCATTTTAATGTACATTTTACCCTAGTATATACATTTTTGTTCACATTACTTGGCTGGGGAACTGAATTGCAAAATTTGCTGAAGTGCAAATTTGAAAGTGAGACCGCATTTCAATTCCCATATTGTTTTGGGAAGTGTGAATTAGGCAGGTTTGCCTTTAAAGGCAAACTGAACTGAATCTCTCCCCCATCTCTAGCTGAGGGTCCTCTACTGTCAGGTGGGTTTGGGGGGGGAATTGAGATTGAATAATACTTATATGTGTAATTTTAGAGTTTTCCTTTTAAGGTAATTGCTTCCTTCATTTTAATATAATATTACCATTGAGTGTAACAAGCATATACGTAGCTGAGGGCTGTTTTAATCCTACTAACAC